GTAAATTGTTGCTTCAAGTCATAATCCTCCATTTTCAGCATTTAGAAACAAAAAACGACCTCCGTGCAGGGGAAGATAGCTAAATTGAATAGCAAGAAAGGACAGGCTTGAAATACTGGTTAACCAATGAACCAGGACCCATTAGAGTAAATTACCGAGTGTAGAAGCATCAGCCCACTGCTTGCTGGCTAGGACACGTCGACGCCCTGAGCATCCATTTGTTTAAAAGGAAACACACAGCCTCATTTGTAGCATCAGCGTGCATGGAGTCATAGGGAAGAAGAGTGTAGAGGCTGTTCTGCCAGAGAGAGAGTAACAGGGAAGCTAAAATAACTTTGTGAATCTGCTCCCTTTCCAACGAATGAGTTGATTTTCCGATTGCATTTAGTCGTGCCCTTGTGCAGACGGTCCATATTTATTCCCACGGAGACATCCCTGAATAACTGCTTCAGAAGCCCAAAATAAATAAATAAATAAACAGATCGCAAAGCCACAAGTTCTCTATCCCTGGCATTTACACAGACAGCTCATGAGAGCGTTTTATACATCCAGAAAGAGACAAGAAGCAGGATCCCTCAAGCAAGTAATTGACAGAGAAAGAATAGCCTGTCACCCAGGAGAGCTGGAAGCTCTGAATTTCGGTTACAGTTTATGTAGCTTTACTGGGCCTTGATTGGCTGGTGGTTTTCTAGAGCTCCCTGTGAGCAGACGTTGTCTAGACTCCGGTGGTGAGGACACACTCTGTGATATTTACATCTGCAGCAGAGGGGATTTCTTCCTGCTTTCGCCACACTTGTGGCGCAGGGCCTGTGATCAGGGCCCATGCTTGAGAACCACTGTAGACTTGGAGCTAGAAGCTCGTCACTGATGCCCCCTTCTGTACAGAGAAGAAAGAAACTTGCCTCATCCCCTCCTTCCTGGCTCCCCCCACATGTGACTCCTAGCATGGCCCTCTCTACATGGCACCATGGGCCTCTGTGCTCAGTCTGTCCCCGCCAGCAGACAGGGAGCCTGGAGGCCAGAGTCTCTGTCCATCCACCCGCCCCCGTGTCCCACACACCTGGCACAGTGCCTGGGCCGGGCCAGGTGCCAGGAGACACTGGGTAAACCGCGAGAGACGGGACCCAGACTCAGCCCACTGGATGCTGGTGGCGCATTTCCTGCCCGGCCAGGCCACTTCGCCCCCAGCTCTGTCACCCAGAGCACCCTGGGCTTGATCATAAAGGAATGAGCCAATTCTGTTGGGTTGGCGCCTAGAGTTTATTAGGTACTTACTGATACCCATCAATTGTAGATAGGGCTGAAATGCAGGGAAATGGCTGCCTGCATGAAGTGAAATTCAATAAAACCGCATTTTAAGTGAAAAATCAGTATAAACACCAGGCTTCTTTGCCATGGAAACAGAGGTTGCTTAGAAACTGCCTAACGGCGAGTTCTAAATTTTTTAAAGTCAAGTTATCATTTAAGCTACACGGCCCTACAGGTTATTGAGAGATAATCACTCGCCTCAGGACACGGGGAGGCATGGGGCACAGCTGAGTGCCTCCCCCAACTCTGGGGACCAGATAATCTCTTGATAACTGTGCTCCCTGAAGCCACTGATTTGGGCCTGGGGGAAGGAGAAAGAAATTTTGGCTCAGAAGTTAAATCGTGTACACATATATATTTTAAAGTGTTTCTCTTTGGATATGAAAAAAGACGGAGCTGGCCATTCGGCATGTTCAACAGCCATCTCTGCCATGTCTCAAGATGTATGAGGGACATTTTCCAGGCAGTTCCTGCAGTCACTTCAAAGCAGAAGCCCTGTCTTTGTCCTCTGGCTTCTGGTTATGCAGAAAAGACTTTCAAGATCTGCTCTCCAGGAGACCCAGGGTGGGCAGGGACTGGGCCAAGTGGTACCAGAGTTTGGGGCTCAGCTGGGCCTCAGGCTCAGCTCCCAGGAGCTGAAAGTGAAGAAGGATCCAAGCTCAGAATTTGTCCGAGTTCAGCAAAAGCCCAGGTACCCCTGATTGTGTGGCACAGTATTTGTTCCTGACCTCGGGCTTGCAGAAGTCAAAGAGGATTGCATTCATTTCTTCCTTAAAATACTGGGCAAAATTAGAACACAGTTGGCTGAGAACTGGGACCCCACCGAGTCTGTATGAAGAAAATTACGAGTGAAACAAAAGACAGATGTCTTACCCTTTTCACAGTGTCTGAGAATCCTCCCCGGCATGGCAGAGTGTTGGGGTTGGTGGTGATGGTCATTCCTCAGACACGCACACACCCCCCGTTCTGGAACGAACAGTGTTTTCATTATACACTTCAAAGTGTATCCTGCACCTCATCTCCCGAGAGCCTGGCAAGGAACCTGTGAGAAGGGTGGGGCAGTGTGATTACCTTCCTTTAGGAAAAAGAGGAAGAAATGGGTTTTTACGAGGCAAAATAGTTTGAGCTGAGCCCCAGAGGTGGGAGAAGAAACTTCATCAGTGCCTGTCATGCTGCAGACTCTATGCCTTTAAGAGCTAAGAAATGAGACCCAAAACAATTCTTTCAAGAGTTTGGCTTTTGCTTTATAAAAGGTGAACTTCATACACGTTTTCACTTGGCCTCCCTGTCAGCATCTTATTTAGAGATCGCACAGGGCAGCGAGAGGGGCTTTTCCTTCTCCGCGGACGAATGCCGCACTCGCCCTTAGCATGTTAAAAAGGGCTCAGGAAACGAACATCGCAGTGTCCTCACGCCCTGGACGTCGGAGCAGGGCCGACACCGGAGTGAGCCACGGCTCCACTTTGCTGGGTGTGGCCCAGATCACAATGTCCCTTGAAGCTGAGAGCGTGCCACGCTGTAGCTTGAGGAATTGTTCCAGCTGAAGGAGGGAAAAGTCAAATGAAACCATTTGCATTCTAACAGTCTTTGGCACCGGGGAGAGCTATCAGCCGTGTCACGTGTAAACAGGAGTCTGCTTCCCAGTTTTGGTGTGTTTTTTCTTAATTTCCCTTGCCACTCTAATTATCAAAGATATTTTTGTTTTAAACAAAAATCGTTTCCCACGCAGGCCCCGTCTCCTTTCTGCGGTGAAGTGGAAACAATGAATTGGAATATTCTAATCACTTCTCCAGCATCTACCGCTGAGGTTATAAACACAAGATTATCCTAAAGAAAGAAAACTTAAATTGTTTAGGCACAAAACAGACCAGGAAATTTTTCAAAGTGCCTCCCCCCCTTATGAATATTAAGCCCCAGGAAAAAAGCAAAAGCACACAGGTTTTTCAGATTAACATAATTAAAAACCAGAATTTAACTTTGTTTAGCAAGCATTTAAGTTCCTATTTGAAGCTCAGCTGTGTGGGAGAGGCTCCTAGGAATGGTCATTAAGGATGAAATGGGGTCCATCAAATCAGTTGTTTCCACTATTAGCTGGTAGATAAGGATCACATGTCAGGCACTGTGTAGGGCCGGCTTTGTGTTTCCGAGTTTCAGCATCTGCAAACCGCTGGATGAAATACACTGCATTGTTTTCAAGATTTTATTTTTTTGTTTTTAGAGGGGGAGGGAGGAAGAGAAACATCATTGTGTGAAACATCGATCAGTTGCCTCTCATGCGCCCCCAACTGGGGACCTGGCCCGCAGCCCAGGCAGTGCCCTGACTGGGAATCAAACCGGCAGCCTGTCAGTTCCCAGGGCGGCGCTCATTCCACTGCGCTGCAGCAGCCAGGGCCATCTGCATTTTTAGAAATGAGGAAACAAGCCGAAACAAGTTGAAAAATCTTCCACAGCCAGTTAGCTAGTGATGTCTGTGGTCATGTGAATCCTGCCGGTGATGTTCCTCAGTCCCTCCGTGGTGGTGGGCAGTTGAGCTGTTCTTCAGATCCTTCTACAGAATGTAAATATTCCAGAGAAGGATGCCATCTTCAGTCATTAGTGTGTGACCTAGGACGCCACTTACTCAGCGTGAGAACCTGTCCCATTCGTACTGATGGAGAGGCTCCCAGGGGCCGTGCTCGGGGCTGGGGGGCAGCAGTGAGCCACACAGACAGGGCCTCTGCCCTCCGGAGCTTGCATGGCAAGGGAGGGAGATGGCCAATAGACAGGTAGTCAGTGAGTGCCGGGGAGGGTGTCCTAAAAAACAAACGAGGGGCAACCCTAGACCTAATGGTCCAGGAAGCCGGGCCTCTCTGAGCAGGTGATACGTGAGCTGAGATGGGCAGGCCTGCCCAGAGAGAGCTGCCCAGCTAGGGAGGGGCTTCATCCTTCCTGGGGTTAGAAAGCCCGACTCTGGATCACTGAGTCAAGTGCAAGAGGCCTGCGTTTAGACTGCCTGGTGCAATGGCCCTGCGCACAAGGCCGATCATTCAGAAGTGGGATGTGAGTGGGTAGGAGGCAAGGGTCGTGACCCCACAGTTCAGGACACAAGAGCCTCACGTGTGATGGGTCTGTGCCATCAGGGCCCTGCCTCTGCCCAGGTCGCAGGACAGGTCTTGGTCGGTCCTGTCCCAGGAGAATGACAATCTGATCCCTGTACGAGCATGTCCAAACCACCAAGAATCAATGGCTCCCCGTGGCCAGAAAGGGCCAGCTCCAGAGCAGCGGTGGGCTGGGGGGTGGGGAGCAGAGCTGAGGGCCCACCTGGGGTGGAGCCTGTTGTGAAGGGTGGGCTGGTCAGTTTTTTTCCTTTGTGAAAACTCCTGCTTTACGCCCCAGATCTTAACCATTTTCTTTGCCAAGATCTTGTTTGATGTCAATATTGTTCTGCTCAGACTAATTACCTTTTTCTGTGTGTTGAGGGATATGAAACTCTTTCCCTCTATTTCCGTTAGGTATTGGGACCATCCAGATGGCCCTATCTTACGAACTAAGTGGGTTTGTTCTGCTATTCAAGTGATTTGATGTTTTAGCATTTTGGGGTTTTTTTCCTGATATAGCCCAGTAAGAAGCCTCTTGGGCAGAGCACCAGCAGGTTGCCCTCCCTGCGCCCCCAACCCCACCATTTCTCCTCACTGCTGTTCATCTCTCCGCAGGGTTTTTCTCCACCTGATGAAGGTGGACCCAGACTCCACCTGGTTCCTGCTGCACGAACTTTACTGCCCTGAGCAATTCATACCCCCCCACCCCTCCCTGCACCCTGTGCAGCTGCGGGGGGCCACAGGGCAGCAGAACCCGTACGCGGCCAGTGTTCTGTTCCTGCTCGGGGAGCTGCAGGGAGCTGCGTCGAGCCCCCTCCCTAGCCTGCAGACGGGAGCGGCCCCCACCCAGCCGAAGGCCGCGGCAGCTGCAGAGAAGACTGCAAAGGTGGATTAGACGGCCGATCGATTTATAAATTGATCGATCGCGCAACTGCTTAGAAATTGGATTGAAGGAAAGTAGCTGACTGTTATTTACATTTCATACTTGGTGTTTTCAGATGACATTGTCTGGCAGCTCTTAAGGGCTTAACTCCTTAGCTTACTATCCCCAAGGCCCCAGCTGCCTCACCGGACAGCCCTCCCCTTACACACACATATCGGAGAGCCCGTGGACACGAGGGGCAGAGGCCTGTCCTGCACACCGGGCCCCCGAGGACCATGAGGAAGCGGCGCTCCGGGAGACCTCAGACACAGCTCGGCAGCACAGACACGCGCCTCCCTCACCTCGAGTAATGAGATGGGGCTCTTTACACTTAACCTGTTCTTTGGAAGAGAATGAAATAAAGACACTTCTTGGATGAAAATACGATCAAGAGCTCACTTTGAAGTTTTTCATATAAACTGAGTGACTTTAAAGAAATGAGTGCACGTTCTTGAATGGATAATCCAGAGCCGTGGTGTAAAAATCCTGCACCGAACAGCAGCAGTGAGAAGTCCGTCTCCCGTTCCCCAGGAATCTGGTTCTTCTCCCCCAGAGCAAACACCGGTGACAGTTTTTGGATTTCTGTGAAGTAGCAGACTGACTTCTCTGACTTCTGATTGTCCACACTAGCGCCCCGGTGCCCCGGCCACTGGCAGGCACGTTCCTGGCCCCAAAGCCCCTGGCTGGTTTTCAAGCAAATCCCAGATGTCATATCCGAACCTTCTTCTTAAACACACAATCACAGTGGCATTATCACACCTACAAAAATGTAACAGTGGCCCTTTAACATTGTAGTCAGTCAGTACATACCCACATAAGGATTGAACACTGCTGTTATCAGTATGTCCCTTAATACAGCAGTCCCCAACCTTTTTGTCACCAGGGGCGGGTTTCGTGGATAACAGGTTTTCCACAGACCCGGGGGTGGGGAGTGGCTTCAGGATGATTCAAGCGCTTTACGTTCCTGCTCACTTCCTGCCGTGGGGCCCGGAGGCTGGGGACCCCTGTGTTAATACATCCCATTTGTAGAGTCCCCTCCACCTGTCCTCTTTTCCCTGCAAGTCTTATTTACGGTGAGAGGAAGCACGGCCATTCACCCTCCGGCACCGCCCCCCACAGTCTGCATTAGTGACCGTGTTCCTGCACAGGCTCCTTTTGGGCACTGCTCTTCAGTAGGTGGTGTCGTTCCTGCCCATCAGATGGCATATGATGCCTCATCTCTGGTGACATGAGCAGTCCCTGGTGACCCTGGCCTGGGTCTGCTGAGTAGGGCTGTGCCCGGCCTGCCATGCTGGCTGGCTTCCAGCTCGAGTAGCTGCGTGAGAGAACCTTCCCTCTACGCACCGTGCGGTAACCTTGAAGGAGTTACTGTGAAAAGGCAGGGTAAATATTTGATATCTCTAGCCGGGTGGTTTAAAACATGTAGATGATGTAAATTTAGGTACACGCGAGTCTTGCAGGGTCCCAGGAACCAGATGCGTGGAGGCACTGTCCAGCTCACTTCCCTGGTAACTTAGGTCATGTGACCCTGCAGGGACCCCAAGCTCTAAAAACCCCTGCAGGTATTGGAAGGGGGACCCTGATTTCCTTTTCAGGTCTCTCCTGCCAGGGCGGTGGGGTGTGCGGCTCGGGGCCAGGTGGCAGCAGCCTGCCTGGTGGTCTGGGGGCCCCTCCCTCTCTTTGGGCCTCATTCCTCCCACCTTCGAAGAGGAATTGAGCCAGAAGGAGAGTGGTTTTGTTTTTTTTTTCCCAAGGCACATTTATTCAGCGTGATAAAGGGAGAGCTCATAATCTTTTTGGATTTTGTTTACCCCCTGCCCCTCGAAGAATCAGATGACATCCAGGGACCCCCTCCCCGGAAACATTCCTCCCCATCCCGTGTCACTCCCAGGGGGCCGCTGCATCCCCCAGACCGAAGTCACACCACTCCCCCATCTGCTGCAGCTGCTCTGCTGACCTCGCCAAATTCTATGCGCAGCTCCAGGGGCTTCGTGTGTGACCCTACAGGGACCTCAAATTAACCCCTGAAAGAGAGAGAACCACTCTTCCCGTTTGTAAAATTCTGGGATGATTTTTTTTCTTTGGGAAAGGAAGAGAATGCCCTCTAATTGAGATCGTAAAGCGATTCACAGCATTGTCCCTGATTCCACCGGGGGGACACAATGATAGACTAATTCAATCTCTAGATCCTGACAGATGAGCAACCAGGTCAGAGGTGGTGTGCTTTGTGGAGCCTGTTACCAGTGCCAGCGAGATTAAAGCCTCAGGCCTTCCCAGGGCGCTCGGTGTAGGAGGGCAGGGGAAAGACACGCCCATCCGGTGCCCCAATAAAACAGGGCGGGGCTCCGGGGAAGCTCTCCAGGAGGTAATCTGCCTGGGAGGGTTTGCCATGGTGTCCCAGAAACCCATCTCTTCCTCGGAGAATACATCCTGAGTTGCATTTGGATTCCTGCAGGCAGATTGTTGCACTTGATTAAAAAAAAAAATTAGAGTGACTCTCCAGTTATTATATTCAAGCAACTTTAATTTTGAACCTGTCCAGCCGAGTCAGTGTAGTCCTTGGGAACGTGGGCATCGCAAAATGATCGTTTCCCCTGTTAAAACCTGCTGGTGCAATGAGGGGTTCTCTTCTCACTCAGGGTTTCTGAGTCCTGGTCTGGCTGCAGTTGGGAGTGAACGGTGGTGGGCGGGGCTTGAATTTCAGGCCGAGATGTGGATCCGCAGGCATCAGGGGATTTGGGAAAGTGGAGCCCTGGATCCAGGGGTCCTGTGAGGGGTGGCTGTGGTCCTCGGGAGGCACCACGTGGTGGAAGAGCAAGGACGATCGCAAGTTCATCAGGCCCGGAGCTTGCTTCTGACTCATCCTCTAGGTTAACTGTGTGACCTCGGGCGACTCACTGAACTTCACTGTCCCATCTCTACAATGGCGTTGCTGCCCCTGCCTCTTGGGGTGGCTGCCTCGGGAGGCAGAAATGCAGGAGGGTTTATAGAGGGTTTTTTCCTCCCTCGGCTCCACAGCTCATGGCTTTGTCAGGGATTCAGTGCATCCTCCCCGAGCCAGTCACAGGTGAGGAGGTGGATGGCTAACTCTCCAAACCACCCAGGAGCTAACGGGAAACCACAGCAGAGGAGGTGGTAAGATCGGGGTAGGACAGGCAGACTTGGGCGGGGGGAGAGGACCGAGGGCATTCCAGACGCAGAGGATAACCTGCCCAGAGGCTCCCGGCCACACCAGGGCCGGCAATGTCTGTGCCCATCACAACTTTAGTTGAAACTGACAGGACACCCAACTCAAACTGGCTGGAGCAGAAAGAAGTGTCTTGGCCTCATAACCAAAAGGCCCGGCTGGCTCCAGATCCCGCCACCGCCTCCATCTTTTGATGCCGCTCTCACGTTGTCCACCGTCTTTTCCCTGTGAGTCTCTGTGACGTGTGAGAGACGGCCACCTGTCAGCTCCAGGCTTCTGCTCCCTCCGTTAACGAACCTGGGAGAGCATGCACTTCCCCCGGGCAGCTGCGGCTCCAGCCCTAGCGTGGCCTCCCGGCCCCTCTGGTTCTCTGCCCAGCACCGAACCCAGCCTCCTGCAGGTGTCGGCAAACTGTCTCTGGAAACCGCCAGCTGCTGACTGTTTTAGGCTCTGCAGGCCAGAGGGTCTCTCTGGCATATTCTCCTTTGATTTTTTTAAACAACCTTTTAAAAGAGAAAAAGTTAACCTCAGCCCAAGGGCCTTACAGAATAGGTAGAGGGGAATTTTTGCCTTAGTTTTGGGGGACCCCTGGTCTAGAGGATTTTCATGGGCAGGTCCGGAGGCAGGGGGTCAGGTCAGCTCACCATATGGAGAGAGAGCTGGGGTGGAGTGGCTTTTCCCAGAAGGCAATGCTGCATTTGGTTACCAGGGTGGGGAGGGGCAAAATCGGCAGGCGTCCCTCCCCCACCCCAGATCTGTGGGCCCAGCGGTCTGGGAGGCCGTGTGTTAGATGTTACAGGCCACGTTTACAGAGAGCCTTGACTGCCGATCTGAGGATCCCGGCCTTAAGAGATCAAGAAGTGGCCTTGGAAGGTTCTTGACCAGGTGAGTGATGTGTTGGAAGCAGCATTTTAAGAATATTCATCTCGTGGCAGCGTACAGGAGAATTTGGAAGGGAGCGAGACCGGCGACGAAAATGTGTTTCTGAAAGTCCCAGGACGAGAGATGTACCTCTTCCATCAACCCCAAACTGTTTGACATGCCGTGGTTCATGAGCAACCTGAGGCACATAAATATGTTCTTTAAAGTTTAAAAGTAAGAAGTGAGATGAATGGAACCTCTGATGAGGCTTCCTCCGGCTGGTTCGGAGAGCGGCAGAGCCCTGGAAATAATTTTCCGCAGCTCCAGCTGGGATGAGCAGCGCGGGGGCCTCTCCCTCCGTGTGACTCAGCCCAGCCTCTGTGTCGGCCTTGATTGGAAGCGGTGCCCGTACGGCCTTCCCTCCAGAGGAAGGAATAGAGGCCAAATTTCAGAAAATAATTCTGAGTGATGGCTGACTCTGTGGAAGCGTTGATTGCTTTATAAATGGCATTCTTCTCCCCGCACCCCCACCTCCCCGCCACCACTGAAGTTTGGAGGCAGCAGCTTTTCAAATTATGCTTGAAAAGCAGCCTGATTTCCCACAGGAATCATTTCCTAGATGAGGAGCTGTTCTACCTTTTCCGACAGTCTTACCCGGAGTATAAAGCCTGTCTGCAAAGGGCAAGGAGGGAGCTGTGCTGTCCTCCCTTCAAAGCCTCCCGCACAGACACTTTATGGAAACGTCTGTCCCTGCACCTTCCCCCAGCATCCGGGCTGCCTGGTCTGCAGCCCGAAGGGGTTAAAAAGCACTGATGTATGGCCGCCTCCACCACCCCACGCTGGCTTCCCTCCTCGTATAATTTGCCATTCTTCTTGCACAACAGCTCCTGGGCCTCAAGCTGCTCTCTCAGCCAGTGCCCTCACGTCCTCAGCTTCCTCCCACACAGGCGGGCTCGGAGCAAGGAGGGCGCCTTTCAGAACCTCTGAGGCCGTTTCCCAGGGAGAGGGTGTCAGAGGGGCTCCGGGAGGCGGTGGAAGTAGTGGAGAAGAGTCGGAAGTTTTTTAAATTTTTCTCTCTCATCGGAGGATATGTTTTTATTGGTTTGAGAGAGAGAGAAACAATGATGTGAGAGGATAACAGTGATCAGTTGCCTCCTGTATGCACCCAGACCGGGAATTGAACCTGCAACTTATGCCATGTGCCCTGACTGGGGATGGAACCCACAACATTCTGGTGTATGAAACAATGCTCCAGCCAACCGAGCCACTTGGGCAAAGGCAGTCAGAAGTTTTTCTTCATGGAATAAAACATGTTGCAGTCCCCAAGGCAGAGGTGCAGGGTATACAGACCTCAGTGCACCCCACCTCCCCATTTTCCATCCTCCTTACCTCATGGGCCCCACCTGGTTCTCACACATCCCACCAAGGACACTGCCAGGTCCCCTGGAGGAGGCAGAGGCCACAGACGGGAATCACTGAGCCACCGCTCACAGGGGACCTTGGGCACTCCCTCCCCTAAGCCCTCAGTTTCCCTGTCTGTTAGGCAGTTTGAAAGAATCCGTCTCAGCCCCTAAAACACCTGTGACTGGATAGCGACGTGTTGGCAAGTGTGTGGGGAGAAGGGTACACAAATCGGCACAAGCTCATCAGAGGGTAACTTGGCAGTACCTGTCAAGTGTAAATGAGCACACCTTCCGACCGGCAGGTCTGCCCCCAAGAACGTAACAGTCACACACACAAAGAAGCACATGCCTAGGCCATTCCCTGTCACGTCGTCTTTTACAGAAACTCACAAGCAGTGCGTGCCCGGTATGTGCCAGGCATACACCTCATGCTTTACGTTAATATCTCAGGAGACTGGAAGCCAGAGATTGGAAATAACCTCATCACAGGACTGGAACGTGCACCCAGAAAAGACCGAAACATGCCCCATGACACCCTCCCAACACGGAAACTCCAGACTGGAGTCACTGTGTCACCACTATTTCCTAAAAGTAAACAGGGAATTAAAAAGCAAGCTGGAGTCGCTGCTGGGGGGGGGGAAGGACGGATCGCCCCAGTGAACTGCAGGGCGGGGCAACAGCAGGCTTACAGCTGTTCCCGTGGGAAGTAATACAATATTTAAGAAATAATAACACAGGAATAAACCCTGTGATTCACATACTCACCACTGCAGCCGACTTCTGCCCCACCCCGAGTGTTATAACACAGGGAATGAAACGGTCACGGCTCTCAGATCCAAGATGCCTGCGCCCTCTGACTCAGCAGTCCTGCTCTGTGGAACTCCCCGGTCCACGTGCAGAGATGATGAACACAATGCTTGTGGAAGCACAGCTTGCATTGATAAAAGACCGAAAACAACCTGTTTTCATCCAGACAGGCCTGGCTCGTTAAGTGCCACGTAGCCTTTAAAAAGAAAGAGCTGGTTCTCTCTGGGTCTCTGTCCAAGGTACAGTGTTTAAGGAAAAAGCCAGCAGGCCAATGCTACTGTTTATGTGGAATGGGGGTACCTCGTGTGTGGAATTTCTCCTAAAGAACCACCAATGGGCCCTGGCTGGTGTAGCTCAGTGGATTGAGTGCAGGCCTGCAAACCAGATGATCGCGGTTCAATTCCCAGTCAGGGCACATTCGTGGGTTGCAGGCCAGTTCCCAGCAGGGGCCAGTTCCCAGCAAGGGGTGCACCAGAAGCAACCATACATTGATATTTCTCTCCCTCTCTCCTTCCCCTCCCCTCTAAAGGTAAATAAATAAATAAAATTCTCTAAAAAAATTTTAAAAAAAAAGAACCACCAATGGTCCCTCTAAGAAGGGTAACAGGATCTGTGATGAGAAGTCTTTTCACATTATACCCCTTATACCTGTTTTAGTCATGTACATATGTAAGTGACTGACAGAATTGTTTGTGATTGAACGTAAGCCATTGTGAATCTAAGATTCCAGGGTGAACACATCTTGATGTTAGGAGCCTAACATCATCTGGTCCCCTCACCAGTGCTCTGCGTTTCTCAGAGAGAACCAGGGCTGGGGGTGGAGGGGAGAGGAGCCATGCTTAGTCCAACAGGCACAGAGGATGCCCTTCAGGGACTGGGTTGTGCCCTGTGTGGGCAGGAACCCCATGGCCCCTGAGTGCGTGCAGGGAGATGATCTCCATTCGTGCTCCAGCTTGTCCAAGCCCCTTAGGACCCTGAGAGAAGCAGGCTGAGCCTCGTAGTCTTTCCTGACTCCCCAGGCAGGGTTCAGGGATCCCACTGAGTGCCCTCTGTCCCAGCCCCTACCACAGCCCTGCCTGGGGCTTGCAGCCTTTCCCCCACGGAAGAGTCCCGCCCGTACCTACATCTTCAGCACCTTGGACAGGGCTGGGGCTTGCACCTTGCTCTCATTTGGGATGACTGAGCCATTGACCAGCCCAAAAGCATGAGGTAAAGGGGCAAAGGTAGGTTTTGAGCCTGAGGCCGCT